TGCTAAGCAATATAGTCACAGGCAAAAGAATTTTTTTTCTGAGTGTCTTGTATTGTGTGCATTTTTTACAGACACATAAACTAAACCTGCAGAGCTATTTGCCAGTACCAGCAGCAGAAAAATCCATTAAAAACCCACTACTGTGATGTTTCACTTGGTTTTGAAGATGTGAATGACCTGTGACAGAGAACAGGAATAAGCTGAATGTATATTGCTATTCTTGTGGCACAGCAGAATGTTAAATACAAAGAGAAATCTGCCCTTCTAGACCTCATTCACTGCTACACTATGGCTGGTCTACATTATTGGCAGTGTAAAAAAAAAACTTAAAGGACATAAAAATTCTATTTGCATGCTGCCTATGCTCTGATTCTCTAATACAACAATACACACTGTATAGACAACTGTGTTTTACATGACTGGCAAGATCCTAAGAGATGACTTTTCCCCATCTTTTCTTAGAAATGCAAACAAATTAACAAATGCAGAGCTAATTTGGTGCCAGAAGAGCAGCATAGTGAAGACTGCTCCTCAACAGCTGAACTGTGTCTTTTTGTACTAAATTCTCAGCATCTTTCTCCTTCCAAAATTAGTCACGAATAAAAGAATTTGAGAAGTAATAATACAAACGCTATATACTACAGAGCATTTATGAAAAACCTGCTGGTCTCTTAGACCAGAATTACTGCGATCCTTCGAAAATGATCTCTTTAACAGTGGACTGAGAAAACTGACATGTCTGTGCTGGATGTAATTAGTCATGTTTCTCAGTGTACTAGTGCTGTCGTCATTTTTTCTAATATTTTGTGACTATCAAGCAAACAGGGATCACAACTATTAAGTCCTTCCTATCTTCTGGAGGAATGATCAGGGCTCGTTTGCAAGTTGGACCTGAGGACACAACCATTCTGCACTTGAAATGAGAAGTGAGAAGGAGCTTCTGAACATTGCACAGCATGTTTCTATCATTTACTGCCATAAAATATACCACAAAGTTACCTTAGGGCACGTTTTAATCTTTCCCGTATAACTGAGTTTTTTCCATCTGCCTAAACAGTAATTTACCCTTTAGGATTTACGGGCGTATCAAAAACAAACATGAAAAGCAAGAAATTTATTCTCCATTGTTTTGACCCTCCTGCAAAGGAAAAAGGTCTTCTCCGTAATAAGCGACACATTTGTCAGTTTGTAGAATATTAAACAGGTTTAATGGTTGGGAATAATCAAAACTTCTACCTCCCAGGGGTTTTCGGTGAAAAAAAAAATAGAATAAGAGATTTTTCTATCATTGTAAAGACAAACCTGTATCTGTGTCACGAGGCAGAAATGCACTGGCAGTGGGATGTACCTGGGGATACAGGCTGAGCTGGAGCCCTTGGGATGAGGCTGCTCTCTTTCTGAAGGAAGAACACAACTGAAGTGGTTCCCTTTGCTAATCCTTGCTCACATTGCTCCCTGTGAAGACTGAGGCACTCAGGCCAGGTTAAAAGATAAACTCGTGTGCCCCATGAGTGTGTTTACAGGACTCCAGAGAACAGGGGGGTGTGTCTGTGGCAGGGCTGGTTGCTAATTGTTTGCTAAAACTTAAAGGGCAAGATCAGGTTTTTCTCTAGTAGCTAAGCGCCAAAAGGGGCCGCTAATTCAGCAAATGCCTCAGCAAGATAAATGTCTAATCTCCAACAGGATTTAGGTACTTAACCAGATTATACTCTGTTAAAAAATTTACTGGCTATTCATCTGCACAGTTAGCACTTATTTAGCTTTAAAAGCCTTCCTCCAAGGGCACAGTTTGGAGCAAGAGCACACAGAATAATTCATAGAACCACAGACTCCTTAAGGTTGGAGAAGACCTCTGGGATCACTGAGACCAACAATTAACCCAGGGCCATCATGTTCACCACTAAACCATGTCCCCAAGTGCCACATCCACACGCTTTTTGAACACTTCCAGGGATGGTGACTCCACCACTGCCCTAGCCAGCCTGTTCCAACACCTGACCACAGACATCTAGCTTTTCCCATTGGGATTTTTTTCAGTCCTGTATGTTCACTGCTGGGGTCATCAACCTGCCCTAGAAATTTGAATGCTGTTACTTTTCTGTACCTGGAACAAACCAGCACCTTCTCTTCAGTATGGGAGTGCAATGGGGGCTGGGGGGAAAGGCATGGGGGGTTCACTTGAAATGCCTCGGAGAGAAGAACACTGAATAATGTGTCTGGTGGAGATTCTTGAACTCCCAGATCACTTACACTGGTGCAAAGTGATTTACACACAGTCCTCCATCAAAAGGCAGTGATCTCTTTACCCATTTCCTCTTAACGACGTCTTTGAAAATAGTCTTGAACTTGAACTTGTCTGCCCAAGTAGGCTGAAATGGAATAATTTTATATTTTGGGGGGAAATTTGAGGTTTACTTCACTCAAAAAGCAAAAAGCTGCAGGAAATTTGTCTACCAATTATTCTAAAAACAATGTGAAATTATGCTGAATAGAAAGAACGAACACCTGCAACAACAATTGACACCCCAGAAAATAACCAAAGTCAGTTTTGGATTCTTGTCTTAGACAATTAGAGATTTGACTTTTATTTTTGTCAACATTAAGATATAAAAAGCTTCTCCATCCAATCCAATCCAATCCCATTTAATGTTAAGACAAAAAGCTTCAGCAGAACAAGATGATCTGCTTTTAAAAGTCTGCTGTTTCTCTCTGCAGAACTCTCTTTCACGAAACTAAACTCGCTTCTATTTTCCTTCCTGTCCCCACAAAAATTCTCTCAGTCTGATGCTCTTCAATCATGATTAAAAAACATTTCTCAGCATCTCCCTGGCAAATGTTCCTACTCATTTTTTCAGAATCTGGCAGGATGTTTGTATCATGCTTGAGGTTTTGTATTGCACTACTTATCATGATAAGATGGCCTAATTAACATGATAAGAAAACCACAACCATCCTGCAGGATGCATCAGGTTTTTGTGAACAACTAGGTAGGATGATGGGGTTCAGTATTTGGTTTCCCAACCTCATTCATTCTGCCCCAGCCCACCAGTATTCTACCTGGAAACAGCACAGACTTTAGCTGGCAAGACAGAGCATATTTGCTATAATTTATAGGCTGGAACTGTCATGAGTGTGTCACAAAACATGGAATTTGTCCATATGCTTGGAATTAAGTCAAATATGTCTAAAAAAAAAACCCAATAAAAACTGTCAAACAAGATTAAAAATTTGTTACTCTAAAATAAAAAATCTTCAGGACTGTTCAGTGCCACATTTCAAATACAGTGAAGTCCTTCAGACTTGCCCTTGCTGAATGTGAATACGAGATAAGGGTGGCCACAGGCTTACACTTGGATGCCAGCAGTGACCTGACATCAGGATCAGCAGTGATCTACACCCAGCAGTGCCAGGGGTAGCCTGGCTGCTGAGGGGTGCACGTGAGAGCAGCATCTGTGGCTGTCAGGTCAATGGAAAAGCAGAAGTGGTCTTTCTGGCCCTTCTTAGACTCAGTGAACACTGACCCTATTACCTGTATTACCCTCTTCCAGATTAATGTTTCACTACCTTTTCGTGTCCCTAAAGCACTTATGGTGTTCCCTAACACTGTCACAGCCCGAGTAAAAAGCACAACCTGACATGACACCAGGGAGCCTTGCTGACACTTCGCTGGATTAGCCCAGTAAGGGCAGTAAGTGGCCAAGTACTGAACCCCAGAAGCTTGAGGTTCTGGCTCCAGCTCATTGCAGCAAAGGGACTGGCACTCAGGAAGCACAACAGACCAAAGGGATGAAAGAAAATCTACATCTTTCACTTCTTGACTATTGTCCTTTGGATGACACGAGCAGCCATTCGGGGAGGTGGAATGTTATCGTATCATGTTGGGTCAGTGCAGAAAACGAAGCGTTGAATTTGGGGAAGGCAGTGAAAAGAGGAATGTAGCAGGTTCTTCTGCTACCCACATCACCCTCCAAGACACAGAGGAATGTGAGGGACATTGCAATTCAGTTCCTCAACCAAGCAGCTCAATTCCTCCTTCAGATAACCTGGAATATCACTGGCCAACAGTCATATATCATCTACTAAATTCTGTCTGGGTTTGGAAAGAGAAAGAAAATCCATAGCCAACTAATGAAACTGTGGTCAGCATTCTTCTGGAGTTCATGGCCTTTATTGAATCAACTTATAAATCTCTGGATTTGCAGGGCTTCTGAAAGGCTCTGTGTCCTTTAGCTGAAGTATGGCTTTCCTCTCTGGAACTACAGGAAGGAGTTTGAATTTCTGGGAATTGCTTCTCAGTTCCTAAAACACAGATGGATCAAGGACCAAGAATCAACCTGAGGTGTCACAAGTGTGAAGAAGTATTTGCATGATGTGATCCTCTTCTGAGCATCACACAAGCATTTTCACCCAATAAAACTGCTGGTAACATGGAGACCTGAGACAGTAGCAGTGCTCCAGATCTCTCCTGCTCTCTTTAGCTGCTCTCCTTTCTCTGACCCTTATGAATTAATGTTGAATGGGTGCTCAGAGGTGTTTGGTGGCTGCAGAAAGTGAATTGTGTATTATACTATTTCCTGCAGTCAATGAGGAATCCAAGGAGTCAACCTTTATGAGGTAGGCAACCCCTTCTAGCTTTGGGTTCCTGCACAAAAGCAGCAACTGGGAAAAGCTTTTAGAGACAGATCTGGAAATGTCTGAAGGTTGTGCTTTGCAGGGGGATGGGTTACAATGAAATGGGATTCAGGTAGCTTTGAAACAGAAATTATTGGTACTGTAGAAGCCGTAGCCCACTGCAGCAAATCCGAGTCCTGTTGCCCTCAACTGTCATCAAATCCACCTTGTCACCAAGGTGCACTGAGCCTGCTGGTTTGTGATCAACCCAGGTGCACAGGGTTCTCTGCTCCATGCAGTATCACACCTGAGAGCCAGAAACACTGAATAAACCCACAGTGAGTAATGAATTGTTTTACCCAACACCTTCACGTTTAGACGGCTCTTACCTCTTTCTGGTGGTACTTTATTGCTACCTTTAGCTTTGCCAAATCATGACATTTTTGGGGGTCCAGCTCTTCACTTTGATCATCTCTGTGATTGAGAATGATCTCCAGTTCTCGGGAGCTCCGTGCTTGATCCAAAAGGTCCTTGGCAAAACGCTTGCATTGCTGTGAAAGTTCTTCATATTCAGCCTTGAATTCATTTTCCACTTTGCTCAACTCCTTCAGCTCCCAGCCCAGTCGGAAGGCTGTCAAAATGGGATCCTCACTTGATAAGGCAATCAATGAAGGGCTGGCTAAGGCTTTGTAGATGTTCAGCCTTGACCTGGAATGCCTCAGGCTGTCCACCTCCGAACTGGAGACACATTCCACGCAGTTGCATCTGATCTGGTGTGGGCGTGGAATCGTTACCCGTCTTTGGACAAGCAGTTTGATGATTTCATAGTTGTTGGTGTGAGCTGCCAGCATGATGGGTGTGATGTCTGGAGTGAACTCTGAAAACTGGGTGTCCATCATCAAGGTTGGAACCTGTATGAAGGGATAAACCATAAAGGGATGAAGTCATATCTCACGTGGAACAGCAGAAATCAGATGTCCCTCTGTCATACTTTTGAAGTGATGTCATTACAAAGCAGAGTTTTTATAACACCCTCTGTTCTTTAAATCCTGCTATAGCCATGGACACACACACACACACTCCTATTCTGGCAAAACCATCTTCCCTCAAATCATGCCAGTCTGTCCTAATCAGGAACCTGTGACCATTCAGCTTCCAGTCTGAAAAGTCAGTCCCATCCCCATCCAAATGCTTTACATGAAAACCTCATCTGAAATGGGTATTGGTTCATACACCAAAAGAAGAAAAAAACAAAAGGATGAAAGAAAGGAAGACAAAAGGCACAGGTAATTGCACAAAAAGAAAATCTAGAAAAGAGTAAGCACTGAATAGCCTTCCATAGCTATCACTATTTGCACGATATATTCTGCATTGGCAGGCCAAGAACCTTCTTATAGCAGGTCCTGCAAAAACCAAACACTGGTCTGCAGGTGGGCAAAGCTCTTCTTCTCTTTTCCCTACTGTTTTCATTTGAAAATACTTTTCAGCGTAAGGATACATCGCATAACTGCCCTCAGAATAGATTCATTGGGTTTTTTTTTAAATGGACTTGAAAAAAGTTAAATGTAAAATTAATGAGCCATAGTCCACTAGAAATAAGCCACTCCAGGCTGTGCATTCCAGCTACTATTGCACTTCCCAAAAGATGAGCTTAATGCACACCCTGTTGTGTCTTATTACTGTATGCAGAGAGCTAAATTAGATGGAAATGCTCTTACATCCAAGCACACAGTGTTTCCATTTGCAGCACAGGCAGCTCTCTTTGTTGTGTGTTAATCACCACTCAAACACACCGTCCTCTCTGTGCCCACCACTCCTGCCCTGGCACTTGGCATCCTGCTGCTGGAGGGAGGAATGCTGCTTTTGGTGAACAGTAGGTCTGGTTCACCTTGCAAATGTCAAAGGTGCTTGAGACAACTGTTGTCAAAGAGTCGTAACGACAGGAAATATTAGTCTGTATAAATCCTGAAGTATAGATGTGATGAAGTGTCATGAGGTAAGTGATTAAAAATCCTTCCATAGGATACCCCCAAGGCTGATTATGAGACAGTGAATCTCCAGCCACGGAATGTCAGTTCCCTGGGACTGAAGGGCCTCTATAGCACAAAAGAGCTAAAGTTCATCAATAAACCTCTACAGATGCAACAGTGGGACAGAGCCTGTTCACAACACACAACACGATCCCAAATGTGATCAACACATCAAGATGTAGGGCTAGTGACTGAAGCAGGGCTCACTGGGGGGCTAGAGGGATTTTGGGGAATAAATTTGCTCCCAGTGTGGCACGTGAGGAGTTAAATATCCCTGGCAGCCCACAGACACACAGGTGTGGAGAGGCTTTGCTACCCAGGCTGGTCCCTACAGAGGCAGGAGGGAGAGGATAAATAGGGCTCATGGGGAAGTAGAGAAAACAGTAGTGAGGATTTGCTGTGGGTCATAGAGGGCTTGGTGTTTCTTAGCAAGGTTGGATAAATGTATTTTAAGATATCTAGTAACAAATGGCTGAAAGCAGCTCTTTTTGTAAGGTCTTTGACTCTCTTCCTTTTCCTTTGTTTAACTCCTTTAGGTAGCTTGTTAAATGTCAAGAGAAAGGTGCAGGGTTTTTTTCTCTTTCCTAGAAGCTGTTTTTTTTAAGTCCTGATTCTTGAATATAACTGCATTTATCTTTCTTCCCCTCCTTTTTCAGCTAGTGACTGGTTGCTGTATTCAGAGCCTCTGCCTCAAAGGAAGAACACTCTTCCCCTCTATCACTCCTATTACTGTCAAATTTAATCTTGTTTTTCTATATCGAAGTTATTGTACCCAGGGCTGTGAAAAGGATTTTCAGCTTTCCACAGATGAGTTATTCATGTTGCTTGGAATATGAAACGGGCACTTGAGGAGAAGGTAGTAATGTTACAGGTGGGGATAGTGCTGCTCCTGTCTGTTCCAGAGGTTTTCTAAATCTGGATCTAGGGCACTCAAAGTTATTGATGCAATGTTTGGGATCACACCAAGTGACCTCTCCTCCTTTATTCTGGCACATACCAGCCCTCACCCTCAAAATGGTGCAGTGCTTCATGAGGCTCTAGCAGCCTCTGTGGTAAAGGCATGTGCTCCTGGGCAGCTTACAGCACTTTTAATTGAGGGATGAGGAGGGAAATGGTGGTGCAGAGACACGGAGGCTCCCTGGGATCCGGGAGCAGATCAGTGTAAGGTCTCAGATCACCAGAGCTGAAGCTTATTTCTGAGCAGCAAAGCAAACCAGCGACACACAAAACAGGAACAGTGTGACTGATGGCTGCTGTGGCCTCTTTACTGTGTCTGGCTGACCCAAAGGCTGTGCATTGGCCAAAAAATTGTGGTAAGTATTTCTGCTGTCTTCTTGCAGCATTTTGGTAACCTGCATCATAAACTGTCTTGTTTTAAAGCTCTGGCTGTGCAAAGCTAGCCTGTGCTCAAAGGCTCTATTCTACCACTGGAGTGACAGCAGAGATTACAGCAACACACTGTCATCACTGATGTTCCTCCAGTGCTTCTCTGCCCGGTTGAGATCATGTTTAGATCAGCTTCTTCTATGTCTTGGGTTAACTTAAAGTGATGGAAGCAAGAAGAGGAATAATTTATTCTACCCCAAGGGCTCTGCTAAGCTCTTCCAAGGTTATTTTCATTAAGTGACCTGAATAACGAAATTCTTTTCCATTAACCTCATCACTTGACATAAGATGTTAAGCTGAGTCCTTCAGAATCTTATTGCCACTACTGGCATAGGAGAAGAGTCTTGTCTGTATTTCATCTTGGTAATGTTCACCTGAGAAATTAACACTACCATTAACAACAAGTGACTGAATACTTCCTAGATTTAATCCTCATAAAAGTAGGCTGTTTACAACTCTACCACTGTTTCTCTGAACGATGCTGCAGCGAGTGAAAAATCCCCTTTATTTAAAAAAGGAGGGTGAAGAAACAAGCTTAATTCATTAAAAGAGAAGAAAATGAAGGATTAGCTCACAGAAAAGCACTGTTCAGTATAGCTAAGCTCTCCTCTGAACGGAAAAACAAGTTTTCCAGCAAACAGTGCAATGCTGGAAGGGAGGTCTGGATAGGAAGAGCAGGAACCTCTGCTGATGTTAGTCATGAGTACAGGGTAAGAGGAACAAAACTACAGAGAGAAAAAGGAAAAAAGCTGGCTCTGAAGGTACAATGGCCTTGCTGTAGGACTTTCAGGAGTTCTACTTTGAACTTAATCTAGTCTGGTATCTTCCCTGGAGCAGGTCCTCTGGTTTAGTGTGTGTAAAAGCAACACAGCTCAAGTGTTCCAAGACTGCTCAGCAATGTGAACAAAGGTGCAATAAATGTGAAAGCTAAGGAGATTCACCTCAAAAACGTTGTCCTTAACCAAACTGATAGACTAATGTGAATACACCTTTTGCCTTTTATAGACCATGGAAGCTAAAATACTGGTTCAAACATCAGAAGACTTCAAAGCACTCTACAGTGTTTCCACAGCATCTGTCACCTATTGATGCATATATAAAGGGACAACTAGATGAAAAAAGCTGTTCTGCAGCAAGGGACTCGGCAGTCAAGAGCAGAATCTTGAACTCTGAGGAGAGTCTGGCTCTTTTTAATGACTATTTGGGGTCATTTTTCTGTGTCTGCATCTTACACTTTTCTCCCCCCCCCAGGGACTGTGCCCCTGACTGTGGTCTGGTGACCCTGACAGGCACTGGTCTTCCTTCATGCTCAGCAATTACAGGTGCTCCTCAGCTGCAGTCTCCCCACATAACCCTTCAGCAATGACTGATGTCATTGCTGGCTCTGCCAGTGAACAAAGTGAAACAAAATGTGAACATCACAGCTGAGTTCCCAGTTACTGAAGGCTTCAGGACCTCAACTGTAGATCTGAAGCAACAAAGAATATCTAAAAAAAAAAAAGCAAAGCCTAACCACAAAATCCTTGACTTAGTTTCGTTAATCACTAATTGTAAACTTCTTGGGTCGGATTAAACAGATAAACATGTCACTTTTTGGGTCAGATAAACATGCATCCTGTTCTGGCATTGAGAATGCCACCACTTTTGTCTGGAAATAACTGATCTAATAATACTGTTGCCTATTACAGGTGGAATTGCCTCATTTTCAAGCCATCTTCATTTCATAAACTATCAGCTCACCTGGACCAGTGTAATAAATACCCATGATAAAATGTAGATATATTAATTTTCTTTATTTTCAGCTTGGATACCTTTTGATTCAACTGTGTGTTACAGAAGATTTTTTAATTGCCAAAACAAACTCATGCAAGCTTAGCTGGAAAACTACAAACATAACACTTATAGAAATGGAAGCTTGGGCAACTTATTGATCAAGGATTTCCTATTTCTAGTTTCTTTTCTGTGTGCAGCTGTATGGGGGAAGTGCATGTGCCATCCACAAGTGTAGTGACAGGCACAACCAGTTTTTGTCATTCTAAAAAGATTTTGTACATCAATTTAGGCTTGATGGTCAGAAGGGGCTTTAGCAGTGACAGTGGTTTTGTTCAGAATCATAGTCCTGTGGTACCACTGGCTGCAGCTCTGTAGAGCAAGACAGACAGAAGGAGTGTTGCCAGCAAAAGGGTCTTGAAAAATATGTCTTTTGACTGGCATGGTCAGTTGAATCCTGCTCCTTGCCTGAACCCAGGAACAAATTCTTTCATTGACAGAATCCTAAAGTCATTACACTTTCCTTATCCGAATGGTTTGGGTTGGGAGGGACCTTAAAGCCCATCCAGTTCCAACCTCCTGCCATGGGCAGGGACACCTTCCACTAGCCCAGGTTGCTCCAACCTGGCCTTGGACACTCCCAGGGATGGGGCAGCCACAGCTTCTCTGGGCAACCTGTGCCAGGGCCTCACCTCCCTTGTAGCAAAGAATTTCTTCCTAATATC